GCTCTTGCGCAAGAAAGCTCTTTTGGCCATTAACAGAACGGCCATCAGAGCACCTGTGCTTTTTCTGATAGGCTCTTTTTGTGCAAGAAACCCCTGTGTGCCATCCACACACACCTTTTTGCGCAAGAGTTCTTGTGCAAAAAGGCTTATTCCTCGTAGAAAGAGGAATAACTCTTGCGCAAAAAGCCCTTTCTTCTTACGATGTACTGTAAATTTTCTGCGCAAAAATGCGCTGTAGTGTAGACATAACCCCAGTGTGGTTCACTGTCCCATGCAGTGGCACGTAGACCACTTACAGTAATAGATAAGAACAAGAGATCTCTATAGCCTAGGCTGAGAAGCAGCTGGCTTTTAGCTCAAGTGGTAGAGGTTCCTACACTAAACTCCAGAGTTTCTAGGTTCAAATCTGCCCTGTGGCAGTTACACTGGTATCCCAATTTTCTTTCCAATGCCAGTTCTAACCAGGACTGGATGCCACCAGGTACACTGTGTCCCCCCATGATTGTGAAAGCTCATTCTTATCAAGCGATTAGCATGTCATCCCCATGGGGCCGAGCTCTTTATTACTGCATGTGCCATGCAGCACTGAACGGCGCATTGCCAGCACAGCGTAAATCACAGTCATGACACAGTGATCTTCCTAAGGCCAAGTGGCGAGCTGCGCTCTGCAGGCCTGACCATTTACCCAGCTCAACCTGGTTTGAGCAGAATGAGAGACATGGCTTTGACACTCCGCATTGTGAGTCATTCAGATACTGTCATGGTGGGAGGGGGCACATAGGTACATAAGAGAGAGAGCTAGATGAGATCGATGTGTGTGAGGCGAGATGAATTTGATTAGATTCTGGCAGCGATGGGCAACCTAGATTAGTGAGTGGGCCGCATGAGTGGCCCTCCTTCATCTCAGTGGGCCGCAGGATTGTCCTAACCAAGATGGCCTCAGGACAGGGTAGTTTTGCTCACTGAACATACGTAGCTAGAATTTGCAGGGGGTGCCGATTGTACCATAGCCGCACGTTGATGGGATGAAGAGGGAGCACACAGCTCTCACGGTCAATGTTGTCTGCAATTGGCATGCACCTCACTTCACCGGCCCTTGCTTTACAGGTGTGTCACTTTAGTAGTACGGGTAGGAAAACAACTACACGGATGTACACCAGGAGAATCTGGCAGCCCTGTGCATGGGCAACGGTAAACAAAATGTCTTGTCGGATGTGCACACACCCCTCTCCACATGGGCTGCATGCAGTCTGCGGGTCACAGATGGCCCACCATTGGATTATGGGCAGTATGAGAACATAGGATGTTGCCATGTTACACATAACACTCCAAGGCCCCCGGATTGCTGTACAAAGCATCAACCCCTTGAATTCTCCAAACTGGATGAGCTGAGGTACTGCTCCACTTGTATTATTATTGCTATTGCTATTATTGATATTGATAGTTCTACTTAGAGCAATGGTTCTCAACTCGTTTCAATCCACGGACCACCAGGCCAAACAACAAATTTTTGTGGACTTTGGGCAATGTTCCTGTGGACCACCGAAAAAGTCACCATGGACCACCAGTTGAGAACCACAGATTTAGAGGCTCCAACAAGCTCTGAGCTGCCTTGAGCTGTGTTCTATATGTAGAGACCATGAGAAATGGCCCCTGCCTTGAGGAACTTGAGCTATTGCCAATTCAGAAAAGGATCGGGATATCATACAGGAAGATCAGGATGATCTTGTAAATTGGAGTGATAGCAATAGGATGAAATTTAATAGTGAGAAGTGTAAGGTTATGCATTTAGGGATTAATAACAAGAATTTTAGTTATAAGCTGGGGACACATCAGTTGGAAGTAACGTAGGAGGCGAAGGACCTCGGAGTCCTGGTTGATTATAGAAGGACTATGAGCCGCCATTGTGACATGGCCGTGAAAAAGGCTAATACGATCTTGGGATGTATTAGGTGAGGTATTTCCAGTAGGATAAGGAGGTGTTAGTGCCATTATACAAGGCATTGGTGAGACCCCATTTGGAATACTGTGTGCAGTTCTGGTCTCCCATGTTTAAGAAGGATGAATTCAAACTGGAACAGGTACAAAGAAGGGCCACTAGGATGATCCGAGGAATGGAAAACCTGTCTTATGAAAGGAGACTCAAGGAGCTTGGCTTGTTTACTTTAACCAAAAGAAGGCTAAGGGAGGACATGATTGCACTTTTTAAATATATTAGAGGGATAAATACCAGGGAGGGAGAGGAATTATTTAAGTTTAATACCAATGTGGACACAAGAACAAATAGATATAAGCTGGCTAGTAGGAAGTTTAGACTTGAGATTAGACAAAGGTTTCTAACCATTAGAGGAGTGAGGTTCTGGAATGGCCTTCCAAGGGAAGTAGTGGGGGCAAAAGATCTATCTGGCTTCAAGATTAAACTAGATGGGTTTATGAAGGGGATGGTTTGATGAGATAACATGATCTTGGTAACTAATTGACCATTCATTATCAGTGGGAAATAGGTCAATGGAGGGATGATAGGAGTTACTATAGAGAACTTTCTGGGTGTCTGGCTGGTGAGTCTTGCCCACATGCTCAGGGTTTAGCTGATCGCCATATTTGGGGTCGGGAAGGAATTTTCCTCCAGGGTAGATTGGCAGAGGCCCTGGAGGTTTTTCGCCTTCCTCTGTAGCATGGGGCACAGATCACAGCTGGAGGATTCTCTGCATCTTGGGGTCTTCAAAGTATTTGAAGGCTTCAATATCTGAGATATAGGTGAGAGGATTATTCTAGGAGGGGTGGGTGAGATTCTGTAGCCTGCACTGTGCAGGGGGTCAGACTAGATGATCATAATGGTCCCTTCTGACCTTAAAGTCTATGAGTCTATGAGGTGGTGAGTGAGAGAAAGGCAATAGTAATATCCCCATTTCACAGCTAAGCAGGGAAAGACTGAGGCGATGTCTACACTATGCAACTTTTAGCAAGTAGGCTGTGACAACAGCCCTGTCGCTAAAAGCTGCCAGGTGTGAACACTGTTTGTTGGCACTTTTGCCGACATAATACTTCTACCCCCAAAGAGCGGGTTTCCCTTTGAGAGCACTTCTGCCGACAAAGCAGTGTTCACACATGCACTTGCCATGGCAAAACTTTGTCGTTCCTGGGGAAGGGGATAAAACACCCATGAACAACAAAAGTTTTTCCAAGCAAGGGAAAGCGTAGACCCAGCCTAAGCAACTTGACCTAGGTTAGAGAAGGAATCTGGTAGCACCACCTCAGTGCTGTACCCCTGCAGTCCGCCTTTCCTCTGCTTCCCGCAGTCGTTGTGCAGGGTGTGTAGTGTTCGTGTCTAGTCACCCACCCTTTCCAATTATTATAAATTAGCAGAAAGGAGCAGGAGACTCAGCAACTCAGCGTTCAGCTCTCCATTAATGGCAAGTGCTTCGTTCTCGCTGTGACGTGTTCCACTCAGCGCGGTCCTGGAGAGGGGGCAGCAAAAAGCAAGCGAGACGCATTCGAGCCAGACACAGTGCATGATAAACAGCAGGGCTTTTAAAAAGGAGCTTTCTAGGGAATTATGAATTAATAATTAAAAAGAGGAATTGACTGGCTGCAGCTGGTCTGAGGCCAGCGCCGCAGGAACCCAGCACGGGCGAGTCAGAAATGCACCGTTAGCACCGCCTGCCTGATTTACAGAGAAATCTTAAAGGAATCATAAATCTCTCTTAATAGAACTGGGTGGGCTTACATCGGAGGAGAGGCAGGAATCGTCTTTGTCCTTGCTTTAAATGCTACCAGGGATACATTAAACAGGGACCCAGGGAAGTGTTCCGCCTAGGAACACAGGCAAGTTTTGCCACATGCAATCAGACCATTTCTTCAACTGGAAAAGTCCCCCCCCCCCCCCCACCACACACCCACCAGCAGTGCCATGTGTCCAGGCATGGCTGTGGTGTAATATACGATAGGGTAATACATACATCTGATCCTGACTGCCCTTCACTGTGCCTATCACTGACGCCCGCTCCCCTGTGCCTCGGTGAAATGATAGCACACGTCTCAGTTCGGTTAGCTCAGATTGCCAGGGCTGGCCACCAGTAGCAATGAGTTCATGCCGATCCCCATGCAGGGGCTCTGAATGTGTCATTGCTAGGTGAGCTGCAGCCATGGGGACAGTCCCGACAGCGTTGGGACTTGGAGAATAGCCCCAGCATGGCTCTGTCATGCACACCGTCCCCATGTCATGGACAGGGCCTTAGGGGTGTGCATGGAGCTCTGAGTGAGAAGGGGCTGACGGCCAGATCTCTGTAATGCCAGCGAGAGCAGAGCTCCGACTTTGCATGGGGCTAGGCCTTGTCTGCCATCCCTTCCCAATAAGAAGCTGTTGCTTTTGTCTTCTGCTGGAGCTGCTTGGCTCTAAGGGGCACCTCCAGCCACTGTGACATCAGCATGGTGACGTTTGTCTCCGTTTTGGTGTGATTGGTAGGAAACCCTGCGGGTTTGTTATTGTGGGTGTCTTATTGTTCTTCCTTTCTGGCTAGGAAACGGGCTCCGTGCCAGTTGGTTCTGAACTAGGACACAAGGACAGTCAAACTAGTCCAGCCCCAGCATTACTCAGCACTAGGCCTGCCTCCGTCTGATCTTCCTTAGGACACGCTCTGTAGGGTGGGTGCTCAGGTTCATGGCTTGCTTAGCTGCAGATGTTGCTACAGCTTTGGCGCCTTTTCGGAGACGTGGCCAAGCCTTGCTCTGAACAGACCCGCCTCAGGGAATGTCTGAGTGTTTCTGCTCCAGGGACAGGACCTATGTGGGCTAGATCAGTGATAAGCTACAGCCCACACCAGGCCTGACAGGGTTAACCAGAGCCTGAGGGGCCAGTTAATTACCTGGCATCACCTGAGAAAAGGCGGGGCTGGGTTAATGGAGCGTGAAGCACAGCTGAGGAAAGCTGGGCCAGTACTTCAACCGATAAAGTTAAGAGAACAAAGGGGATCTGGGTGGAGGAATTTCAATGCTCTGGGATGAGGGAAGCCCTTAGAGAACATAAAAACAACAGGGATACAACAAGGCGTCTCCGTCCCATGTGGATCTGGATTTGAACTTGGCTGCCCCCGTCTAGACAGGAATGATGGTCTGGAGGTTAAAGGACGCAGGCGATCTGGATTCAGATCCTGGCTCTGCCTGTGTGACGTTGGGTAAGTCACTGGGTCTTCTCTGCAGCTGGGATTCACAAAGGTGTTTAAGCATGGAGGCACCTGGGGGCTCGTGATCTTTTCTTCCTCTGTCTTGTCGGGTGGGACTGGGCGCTCTTTGAGGCAGGGACTCTCTCATGATGGGTACATACAGCACCTGGCACACTGAGTCTCTGCTCACGTCTGAGGCCCCTCGGCACTCCCCTAATAATCCTTTTATTCCTGAGTTACAGCTGCGGCATCCACTCATCCCCTCGAGGAAGCAGCCCAGGAGGAGTAGAAAGGGGCAGCAATGCCACGCAGTACCTTGCTGAGACAGACGCCTGGGAGCAGCCAGCCCAGTGCGGTCAAAGGCAGCCCTTTGTCTCTCTGCTGCTCCAGACAGCCGGGTTCACTCAGCGGCTGGCTAATTAGCTGTGTGAATAGCCAGAGCTTGGGGCTGGCCTGTGAAAGGGAGATGGATGAGGTTGCTGCACGGCACTGGCTGGGCAGGTGTAGCACAGCAATTCCCCGTTTTTCCCCTCCATCTGTTCCCATACTGCCGAGCCGGGCCCTCCTCTGACATGCCGAGTGACCCTGCAAACCCACCAGGCCCGGAACCGCTTCCCCCAGCTACTCTCACGCTCAGACGCGTCAGGCGCTTTTAATAAGGCAAGATTTACTGCTGACCTTTGGGCGCCGGGGTCCTTTCTGGGAGGCCGTGGCAGCCCCAGCCACGCCCCACCCCGCAGCAGGAGGAAAGCAGACTATTCCTCTCACTGCTTCGGGGGAACCCCAGAGATTCTTGAGTCCCATCCTCTGACCTCCGTTCCCACTGGCTCTCCTGCCCCTCTGAAAGCTCCACCTTCCGATTAGCCGGTCCTGGAGCCTGCTCCCCCAGGGCAGTCAGAGATGATCTGTGGAGAATTGCTCCCAGACCCTTTCTTACCCTGAGGTAAAAGGCATTGTCAGAGCTGATCTGGAGACACTGGGACCAAGAGATTCTTGAGTCCCATCCTCTGACCTCCGTTCCCACTGGCTCTCCTGCCCCTCTGAAAGCTCCACCTTCCGATTAGCCGGTCCTGGAGCCTGCTCCCCCAGGGCAGTCAGAGATGATCTGTGGAGAATTGCTCCCAGACCCTTTCTTACCCTGAGGTAAAAGGCATTGTCAGAGCTGATCTGGAGACACTGGGACCAG